TAGAGGATGCAGAGATGCCCACTGCAGGAAAAGTTGAATCCAAAGTTTCTGTTTAAAAATTAGCTGACCCAATCTAGCATGAATCCCACCTCCCACTTTACAAATAAAACCAAACCGGGGTCCATCTTTGAGTCCTCAGGTTCCCCAAAAGGTCTTGACCTCTTGCCAAGCCCTCAAAGATTCTCACCTGTCCCCATGTTCCCTAGTCTCAGGATTCAGCCCCAGGATGTTGCCCCCAAGGACTTGGTCCCAAAAGCCCACGTTGGCTTGACTTCTCCAGCCAGGGAGCATCCTGGACCAAATGACTTTGAGGACACACTCCAGGAGCACCACCAGATCCCACCACCTGGCAGAGCTCTCCAGCTCTTTCATTTATTAAAGACATGACCACAACTTGGAGGAATAATTGGGTCAGAGCCATGTAAATGAGATTGATTTGAGGTTTTTGTTACGAATCTAGATGTTCTTGGGATGCAGGTGGGTGCATTATTCATAAATTACTAATATTATAATCAAAACTTTTTCAATATGGTGTCCAAGGACATGTCCTGCACCACAGAAGACTGAGCATGTCAGAGCCTATTTACACAGGACAGGACTTATCCCTTTCTAATTGCCATCCAACAGATTTCACTTAGGGATGGTTAGGGGAGAGTGAAGCTATTGACTTAAGCATCTGGAACAAGAGAATGTTGGTTTGTGAGGACGTTTGGAAGAGTTTACTTTAGTAGCTATGAATTGCCCCTCAAAAGGAATGTCTCCCTCCACTGACTGTAGAGCCAAGTGGCAATGTCTTCTCATGCCACGTGCTGGGATTTCCCAGCCCACACAGCTCCCAAGGGCTGTCATTTTTCCCCTTGCCCCTCAGCCACACTTGACAAAGCATCCAAAAGAAGAAGCTGGGAGGTTTAGAAGTGATGGTCTCATGTCGAGGAGATGGGCTGCTCTCAGAAGCAGCCCCAGGACGGTTGAAGCCATCACCTGGTTGTCCATGTAAAGGGGTTGTGTGTTGGCCAACGTATGTAGACATACCTAAATGTGGTGCATGGAGCAGTCCTGGGCTCCTGTCCAAGGTGAAATTAAGAACCAGAGGCCAACCTGCAAGGATGGCACCCAAGGAAACTTCCAAGCAGCCAGAGAAGTTGCCCAGCCTGGTCCCATGCACATTGTCTTTCCAATTGCCTGCTCCTCATGTACCAGCTTGACCTGAAAATCCTAGAGAAAGAAGATGGAGTTAGAAGAGATACAGGTTGGGATCCTCTGTGGTTGCATTTGCATTTGGGCATGCCCACATTTGAGAGAGCTGCTGTTGGTCCTACCAGAGAGCTGTTCCTCTGCCTTGGCCATGCTCTACATCTTCATTGTTCACCACAGGTGGTGGAGAGGGGGAGATGGAGGCTTTCACACACCTCTGGAGCACGACCCAGGCATTGGAAAGGAAATGACCCTTGACAATGGCAATGGCAAAGGGTCATTGACAATATTGACCCTTCCAGCTGCCCAGAGAGGTGCCTCCAGAGCACAACCCAGGCATTGGAAAGGAAATGCCAAAGGAAGGGTCAATATTGACCCTTCCAGCTGCCCAGAGAGGTGGTGGAGTTTCCATCTCTGGAGACATTCAAACCCCACCTGGACATGTTCCTGTGCAACCTGCTCTGGGTGGACCTGCTTTGGCAGGGGGTTGGACTGGATGATCTCCAGAGGTCCCTTCCAACCCTATATCATTCTGTGATTCAGAGAGTGACCCATTGGAAGCTCCTCCAAACTTGGGAATAAAAGCCTGATCTTCCTCCTGTGTTTCTCCACCATGTGTTGCCCAGGCCCTGATGCAATGACGCGCTTCCATGGCACAGCAAACTTCTTGTGGTGAAAAACTCTTGTTTGTGCAAATCTGTTGTACCATCTCCATCCGCTGTGACCTGCGACGAGGGGATTAGAAATTGTTGAGATGCTCCATCGGGAAAATAACGTGTAGGTCTCCCAGCTCAAGGCAAGAAAACATCTCGGGGAGCACCTCTGGGGAGCATCTCTGGGTAGGGAAGGGCAACATGGTCAAATATGTTCAATATTTGGCTTTGCTCATTAATATATTGCAGGAGTTTTGCACTTATCGCTAAGGATAGCATTAAGGAAGGAGAAGACTTTGTTACAGCTTCAAAGCACGAGTAAGTTATTGTCGCTAGTATTCTGTTAATACCATAATATTTTTCAGGCTAATTAAGTGTTTCCCTTTGATTTACTTTTTTCTCATGGGGTCCAGAATGGAGAAAGATGATTGTAATACGTGTCATCAGGCTCCAAAGAATGAGAATTTGATCTACTACGTCTGAAAACAACTTCTGATCAATGCTAATTTTGAGGACGTTACATGCTGGTAATTTTAATTCAAGGCAATGAATTATCTTGGGTTTTTTAATAGGGAGACATTGTTTATACAAATTACATCCTCGAAGCTTACTAGTTTGGGAAAAATAATAACAAGAAAGAGAAACGGAGAAGGGTAGATTAGATGGGAGGTAGAGAGTAAACAGAATATCAATTATATTTAAATCTCAGTGGGGCAGAAAATCTATTTATTTGTAATATTAAATGGATCTCTCCTCTATGGTTATGGAGATGATTTTCTGGGTGAAAGGTAAAACTAAATCTGCAAATTACCAGAGATTTAATAATGTTAGGAAATTACATGAGGCCAACCATTACTCTCAACTACTTGTGGCCAAGCCCAAAACATTTCCAAGAGAGCTTTATTTCCCCTCTCTTAAATTGGAATAAAGAAAGCAAGAAAAGGCATAAAAACTTAATTAATCTTTATTCCTCCTTCTTTTTTTAGCCTAAACCTAATGAAAACAAGGGTGTTTTTTCTTCTGAACATTATCTTAGTTTTTATTTACCCAATTTTAGAGAAAATTGATAAATTCCAAAGGAATTTGTGCCTACAAAAGTGCAGCAGAAGTTTCGTGGCTTGACTAGGAGATGCTGGAAGTTTCCAAATTGCTGCATTTTTGCCACAGCAAACAAGCATATTCCGTAGGGTTTGGGCAAAACACTCCTTTCTAATCCAGCATTAAATCTTTATGAGCAACAAAGGAAGTATTTCTACCGAGAGGAAAGTAAATCTTTGCAACTCAGGAATCTTAAAAGCTCGTAATGTGAAATAAGTGGAAAAGTACGACACGCTCTTTTGTATCCTTCCTGGAGAAATCCAAAAGAAGTATCACCAGTTTTTATGAATAATACAATTGCAGAGCTACGTTTATGTAAAATAAAGATATGGAAGGGCTGGGAGCTGACACACATCGTGTCCTCCTCCATCTGAGCTGGAGTCACTGATGGACCTTTATTCCTTGTTTTTTATTGCAGTGGCTTTGAACTTCACAAAGCTCTAAAGCATTTCTTACTGTGGCAAAAGACGTGCTGCTGACTTACATCAGCCCAAACCCCAAAATTACTGTGGAAGTTCCTTTGCTTTTTATGTACCAGGAAATGAGCTGAAAGTCCAAAGAAATTCCATGTTTTCACCTGAATTTTGTCAAAAGCAGAAGAAATGGAATGCAGGCTGCCATGACTGTGGGAAACGTGGTGAGCTGGAAGTAGTCGACCAGAGGTAACGTGGGCATGAAAAAGGGCGGTTGGAATGACTTTCCCCAGCAAAAATTGCAATAATTTAGCAAAAGGGAGATGGCTGATTGACCACTTCTCCAAGTGGTCAAATTCTCCAAGACCAGGATGGATGGGGCTTTGAGCAACAGGGAGATGGCTGATTGACCACTTCTGAGCAAATTCTCCATGACCAGGCTGGATGGGGCTTTGAGCAACCTGGTCTAGTGGGAGGTGTCCCTGCCCAGGGCAAGGGCTTGGAACTCGATGATCTTTAAGGTCTCTTCCAACTCTAACCATTTTATGATTCTATGAATTCCCTAAATTCCCTTAGAGAAGAGAAATGGGAGTTTCCATAACGTCACTAGGTCAGAATGCGGCAGAGGAGCTCCATTCCCCAAAATGCTCCTTTTCCCCAGAGGGACCAGTGCAGATGGAAAGGCTCTGCATGGAGAGCACCCAAAGCCAGGTGAGATGAATCCTTGCCCTTCGTGCCCAAAGTTGAAGAGTGTGGCACTCATAGACATAATTCACACCATCAGTAGAGCATCCAAATCATCTCAATTGCGGGTTATAGACACGAGGGGCTGAGCTGTGTCTTGCAACATGCTCAGCTCTGTGAGATTTCACACAACATGTGTTTTCCTTGAAGAACCTCTAAAAAGCCCCTTAGAGAAATGGCTTCCTGCATATTGGGTTGAAAGCAGCCCTGAGGAGAAGCATCTCCTCGTCACCATCACACAATTGGAGCTGTTGGTGGTTGAGAAGATCAACATGAGCCGGCAACGTGTGCTGGCAGCCCAGAAAGCCCCCCCCATACTGGGCTGCATCCCCAGCCACCAACAGCAGAAGGACATGGAGTTGTTGGAGTGGGGCCAGAGGAGGCCACGGAGATGCTGGGAGGGATGGAGCCCCTCTGCTGGGAGGACAGGCTGAGAGAGTTGGGGGGGTTCAGCCTGGAGAAGAGAAGGCTCCAGGGAGACCTTGGAGCCCCTTCCAGTCCCTCAAGGGGCTCTTGGTCAGGGAGGGGAGCCATAGGAGGAGGGGGAAGGGTTTGAAACTGAAAGAGGGGAGATGGAGAAGAGATCTCAGGCAGAAATTCTTTGGTGTGAGGGTGGTGAGATCCTGGCCCAGGTTGCCCTGAGAAGCTGTTGCTGCCCCATCCCTGGAGGGGTTCAAGGCCAGGTTGGAGGGGGCTTGGAGCAACCTGCTCTGGTGGGAGGTGTCCCTGCCCAGGGCAGGGGGTTGCACTAGGGGGGCTTTAAGGTCTTTTCCCACCCAAATTCTATGATATCAGCTTGTTTCCGGGGCTTCAAGGTCCTTTCTCACCCAAATTCTATGATATCAGCTTGTTTCCTTACTCCCTCTTCACCCTTGCAGGTGTTTTGACCAGCCCCACCATGGAGAGCTGCAGCAGCAATGCTTCCACTAAAGTCTTTTTCTTAGTGGGGTTTCCAGCTCTCCAGGAATTCCAGACCCTCCTCTTCATTGTGTTCTTACTGTTCTACCTTCTGATCCTGGTCGGTAATGCTGTCATCATCACTGTGGTTGTGGTCGACCATACGCTCCACAAACCCATGTACTTTTTCCTGCTTAATCTCTCCGTGTTGGACGTGCTCTTCACAACCACCACCATCCCCAAAATGCTGATGATGTTCCTGGCCAACGCCAAAACCATCTCGTTCCAGGGCTGTTTTCTGCAGATGTATAGTTTTCATGGGTTGACGGTAACCGAGGCCCTTCTCCTGGTGGTCATGGCTTACGACCGCTACGAAGCCATCTGCAACCCCCTTCGTTACTCGGCCAAGATGACAAGAAGAGTCAACATCCAGCTGGCAGCGAGCGCCTGGACCACGGCACTGCTAATACCCGTGCCCGTCATCATGCAGACCTCTTGGCTGGCTTACGGGGACACCACCAAGGTTCACCACTGCTTCTGTGACCACCTGGCAGTGGTACAAGCCGCCTGCTCGGATTTCCGTGCTGATTTCCAGACCTTCTTGGGGTTCTCCATCGCTATGACAGTGTCGGTCGTCCCTCTGTCTCTCGTCACCATCTCCTACATCCACATCATCCTCTCCGTCCTGAAGATCCACTCCAAAGAAGGACGCCTGAAGGCTTTTTCAACATGTTCTTCCCACCTGCTTGTGGTGGTCACTTACTACTTCTCCATCGCTGTGGCCTACGCGTCCTACAGAGCGGACATCCCCGTGGACGTCCACGTCATGAGCAACGTCATCTTCTCTATTTTAACCCCCTTGTTAAACCCCATCATTTACACTTTACGCAACCAGGAAGTAAAGTCTGCCGTTAAAAAGTTTATTTTTCTGAAAATCTTTCCCCTTTTGAAAAAATTGTATTTATTTGGGTAAAATTTACAGTGGTGTGGATGCTTCGTGCCACTTATTATTTCTGGTTAATTAAGACACATCACCTTTGGAGTTTTGTTTGGTGCCCCTGAACTGTGGCGAGTCCTCTGTTAACGTATCTCAGCCCATTTCTGAGATGATTTTAGTAAACTTGCTGTAATATTTATCATTTTCTGGCTTGGTTTCCATCCTTCTAAATCCCCGATGCACTAAATAAAACGGTGAATGCTCTAAATAAAGCTGAAAATGCACTAAATAAAGCTGAACTGGGGCTTTACTCTCTCCCCTCCACATTGCCCTGTGGAAGACACATTACTTTAAATCCCACATTTAAGAGTTTCAGCGGTGGGAGCAGTTATTGGCCCTACAAGTGATGGAGGTGAACCCGGACTGTGATTCCTGGGTAAGGAAACTCCAAAATCACTTCACAGGACTGCAGAACTGAGGGAAACAATGAAGATGAATTAAAAAATACAATGTGTAGAGCTGGACAAAACGGTGTCTGGGTACAACAAGGTGCCACCAACCACTTCTTGTATCCAACAGGGAGGTTCACAAGTTCCTGCATTATAAAAGCCCATGTGAAGCAACAGTCAATAAAATACCATGAACCTCAAATTTAAGGCAGAATAAAGTATCAGAAAGTGTGATTGTTTATCTGGAGCTTATTTAATTCAGCTTTTCACAGAATCACAGAATGATCTGGGTTTGGAAGGGACCTCTGGAGATCAACTAGTCCAACCCCCTGCTAGAGCAGGGCCACCCAGAGCAGGTCCCACAGGAACGTGTCCAGGCGGGGTTTGAAGGTCTCCAGAGAAGGAGACTCCACCACCTCCCTGGGCAGCCTCTGCCAGGGCTTTGCCACCCTCAAAGTGGAGAAGTTCCTCCTCACGTTTAGATGGAACTTCTTATGTTCAAGTCTGTACCCATTTCCTCTTGTCCTGTCCCTGGGCACCACTGAAAAAAGACCGACCCCATCCTTCTGACACCCACCCTTTAAGCATTTATAGGCGTTGATCAGATCCCCCCTCAACCTTCTCTTCTCCTTGAAGAACAAAGCTCCATCACTTCTAGTTGAACTACAAGAGAGTTTTCAATTGAAATCCCCTCCTAACAAAGGGTTTAGCAGCAAACAACTGTTCGTAATGACCAGTAAAATGTTCTTTTTTTTTTTTTATTACTTCCACAGTTAAGATATTCCTCAGAAATTTCCACTTTGGTGTTGCTCATTTTCCAGACAGAAGATCTCATTCCACTTTCCATCTGACACCAGATCCCTGCTGTCCATGTAAATCCACATATGAGATGATCAAACTCCTCTTTATTAAATGGGTACCCAGAGGCTCTCACTCTAATACACATTTTCCAAACTTTTAACCATTCTCGTGGGTTTTCTCCCAAAACTCTTTATGCTTTAACATTGTTCTTGCGGGATAGTTATAAAAGCTGGATATAATTGTCTGCACCGTCATCAAACAGAGATTATCACCACCTAATCCTTCCAGCATTCCCCCCCTGATAGATATATATATAAAAGATGGTTTTACTCCTCTCAACTAGTCATTTTGCAGAAACAAGTGTTCCCAAGGAAAAAGATAAAGTCCTAAATATGTGAATTTTAGCTACTATTTTTATTGCATGGATTTTTTCCAAGGATGAGAAGCAGGCAGCAGTGCAGAGCCCGGCATCGTGGAGGTGCTGAGCCCAGAGGGGTATCCCCCAACCCCTCAGGGCTCTCCATGCCTTTTTTCAACCACGGCTTGGAAATTCCTTCCAAAGCCCCAGGACGGGGAGCCTGGAAGGGATTCACAATTCATTGTCATCTGGAGGAAGAGGGAAACTGGAGATGCTGGGCTCTCCCCTTGGCTAGTCATCAGGAAAAGGAAAATTAAGCCGTGGAGAAGGGATGCACTTGGGTTTCCAAACCTTCCAGTGGGGTAGGATGTTACCAGCTGCCATAAAAAGCCCGTGGTGGCCTTGGGTGATGGCTTGTGGCCACCAAACGTGGTGGGAAATCAGCCTCTGCAGCCACAGGGGTGAGATGCTGAGAGCCACCACCAACAGCACTCCTCCTCTTCCAAGACCCATGGGCAAACTGGGGTGAAAAAGACCCCCAAAAATGAGCAAAAATTGACCACCACCTGTCAATTCTTAGAAGTTCATTCTGCTATAAGAGAATAAACCCCCCTCAACCCCCAGATATCCCCTCTGTGTTCTTCACAGGAGATGTCTATAGGAGCTGCACCCAGGAGGCATCGCTCCAGCACATTATCTCAGGAAATGACTAATACAAAGCAATTAATTGGACTTCCCCTCCCCCCAGCTATGGCTGGAACTGGGCCTTGAGGAGGAGGGACCTTCCAAGGTCCTCCCCAGAAGGAGTGGAGCCTGCAATGATGGGAGAGCACCTCGTCACTGGCATGACTATATAAAAGAAGAGAATCTACCCAAAAGATTTTACGTATTTTTTAGAGTTTTCCCCTTGTACAGTGTGAGCTCCTCATTTACTTTGTGGAATTGGACTTTTTTTACCTGGGTAAATCTCAATACCATTTGTCACTCAAGAGGGAAAGAAAGACCTCGGTTGGTTTCTACCATCTGCATCCAAGGGCAAGATTCGAGCATGAAACCAGCGTTTCAGAATAACATTACAGAGCAGAACTACCCAAATAAGATGCTAAAGCCTTCTCCAGCTCCCCCATTCATCACATTTGACAATATAATAATTTTGCCTAACAGCTAGGAACCATTTCCAGCTAATATTATTTGTTATCTGCAGCAACAGCATTATCCCGGTACCCAGAGGGTCACGCAGCTGCCTCTTACAAGACGCTGCCTCCACGTAATGAGTTTTCTGCTCCAAACCTTCGTCTCTGTTTTAAAGGAAACAAAAAAAAACACAAAACAAATAAGAATTACACTGAGCAGAAGAAACTGCAGACTCCAAGCACCAGTTTTTCCAGACGGGTATTTCCGAGCCATGGGATGCAGGAATATGTTTAGGAATATGAACCACAAGAATCCTTCCCGTACCGAATTTTTATGTCAGCCAGAACAACTGTGGGCAATACTTTCCATCCAAGCAGCAGATTTTCTCACCTGATACTCATTATTGTCCTTAAATTACTCCAGTGGTCTCCAACTCGCCTTCCAACCCTTCCTTCTCCAACCCTTCCACATCCCAGCAGCTCAGACCATTCTCCTTTCTTAACGAAAATCTTGCAAGAAAACCACAATTTTTATCTTTTCTTTATTTTTTTCTGATTTCAGAATGAAAGACAATCAGAAAATATAAAACTATATGCCCCCCAAGGAGCTTATCAGTGCCCACACTCATCTGCTGGTCTTGTGTCCCCCCCACATCCATCTTGAGAGCCCTCTCCCCGCCTTGACTTGCCTGAGATGCCTTTCCCAAGAGGGCCATGAGCTCATTCGTCGTGCAAATTACGTGCCCTGTGGCTGCGAAGCAAAGGCCAGATTGTTTCAAGTGCCATTAGAATAAAAGCTTAAAAGGCCACAAGAGTTTATGTAATCTATTTTGCAACCATCAGAATTCTTCTAAGAAAAGTCCTTGCAAAAGCAGATATTCTTTTTCCGTGGTTCCTCTCTGCTCACCATCAAACACAAGAACTTCAAAACCCTCCTGCTTTCCTTGTTTTTGTTTTTTTTTTTTTGCTTTTGCTTTGACCTGGTGTGAAGGGAAAGCCTCACCCACCACAGCGCTCCATGGAGAAAGCACCCAAGGGTTGCACCTCCTTCCCCCCCCCCTTAAAAAGCACAACGTTCTCTGGGATCACTCAAAAGCCTCCAAAGAAACCCCTGAGTCCCATCCTCCCCAGGTGATGTCTCCTCCTTCTCATCCATCAGGGTCAAGCTCACCAGCTGGGCTCCTCCACGGCCAATGAAATAAAAAAGAGACATATTTAGAAGGAAGACATCTCACTTGTTTTTCTCTATGTGGGATGGTCTCCACCTGGAAATGTTTGCAATCACCAGGGTGACTTCTTTGATGATAAGAGCCCCTCTGCTGGGAGAACAGGCTCTGAGAGTTGGGGGGATTCAGCCTGGAGAAGAGAAGGCTCCAGGGAGACCTTCAAGCCCCTTCCAGTCCCTCAAGGGGCTCCAGGAGAGATGGGGAGGGACTCTTGATGAGGGAGGAGAGCCACAGGAGGAGGGGGAAGGGTTTGACCCTGAAAGAGGGGAGATGGAGATGAGAACTGGGGAAGAAATGGATGGGTGGGAGGATGAATGAATGGATGGATGAGTTGTTGAGACCCTCGCCCAGGTTGCCCAGAGAAGCTGTGGCTGTGCCATCCCTGGAGGGGTTCAAGGCCAGGTTGGAGGGGGTTTTGAAGAACCTGCTCTGGTAGGAGGTGTCCCTGCCCATGGCAGAGGGTGGGATTGGATGGTCTTTAAGGCCTTTTCCAGCCCAAACCATTCTATGATTCTCTCCTTAAAGCAGATCAGTTCTGGTCAGCTCACAAGGGATCTTACATCACGGCAGGGAAATACAAAGCCATGAGGTTTCCAGGTCTGTTTATTGATCTAAAACCCAGGGAAATCTGAGTTGGAAATGTCACAACGTCTGCAGCAGAATAATGCACATTTTGACTATTTATTTTTTTTTTAAATGGAATAAAAGTAAAACAGCAGGTTGAGAAGTGGGTGTCCCTGCAGGCAGACCCCCAGCCACGCAGCTTCTCCACTGGGACACGCGTCATGGCAGAAGTCCCAGACGCCGGAGAATGAACTCATCACTTTCTCAGTGGTTTAACACCATTTTTCATCACTTGGTGACGTGGATATCTGTTTTTTTCCCCCCTCTGCTTTTTGCATAGATTTTTCTGCTTTCCACTGCATCCCTTCACTCCCGGGGAGCTCCATGACATTTGCTGGGTATTTGTCGTGCTGGAAGAGCCTGAAAATAGTCAAAGGGTTGGAAAGAATACTTCTTTTTG